AGACGTAGCATATTGCTCTGTAGATGGGGATCCTTTTAAAACGACTCTCAACTTTTGAAATTGAATATGAAAAATTCTTTTTTTGCATATACATTTCTTGAATTTATAGTAAATTTAATATTTGAACTAGTGGTGCATGGCATCGTGGCTTAAGGCAACTTGCTGGAACTTCCTGTACCGGAATTTAAAATTTTTCAAAAGCTTTAAATTTTGAATCTAAATCTCTAAAGTTTGACTAATTAGATTTTTTGAACATCCTGAATTTTTATGAAAATTTTTAATCTTAATCAATTTCACATTCCGTCAATGAAATTGAAATGTTTTCTGAATCATTTTAAATTTGCCTCGTATCTTCGAAACGGCTGCTTTTGCCAAAAAAGGTATGCCAAAATATTCAGCAACATAAAGATATGCAAAAAATGTTTTTTTTGCTATTACTATGATGGAAGTTAAACTTTAGAGGAGCATATATTTACAACATTTTATTTTATATTCTGTTCTATTTTTTTTATCGTATTATATCAGTTTTACTTAGTTTTACTAACGGATATTTTTTTTAATTTTTTTTTTTTAATTTTAATATTATTCTGCCATCTGTATATATAATTACATTTTGCAGAGAATGCTGACAAGTTGTTTACAATTTGTTATTTACAAATTAGTAGATACCCCTAGTGGCGTATCTTTATAATAAAAAAAAACTAAAAACAAAAGGGGGGAAAAACAATAAAATGTAGCAAAATGAAAGTATTATAGTTAATTAAATTATATTTGGCCTTCCTGGTATAAATGACGTTCTAGTTGATTAGGATGGACGTCAATTCTGTTCTTAACGGATAATTGAAGTAATTAGTTTTTATCTTTCTACTCTACATTACGTCGGGTTTCCACATCTATTCAATATTACAATTACAAAACAAATATATCAATTTTTACATAGTACTAAGGAACTCAATTCAAGAACTTATTGTTGAAAGACTGAATAGCGATTTTGAAGATCCTTATGAGCTCGTTTTCATTCGGAATCAATTTCAAACAATTTATACACTATTTTCAAGATCTTTTTGAAAAAAATTGATATACCAATTTTCAACTTCCTATGGGCCGTCCATTAACCACGTGATTTCCAAGGATTTTTGGATACCCGCCCTATGATGACACGTGGTGATATTTAAAATTACCCCTCTCCCTCTGTCATAAAACATTATGCGTATTTTTATTTCCTTAAAAAAATAGTAAAATTTTTGAAATTTTCGTGAAAATTTTTGTATTAATTTTATAATTTGTGTAAAAAAAAGAATACACGTGATATCTTACTCTCCCCCGCGTGATATTTCATGATTATTATAGACTAGCTGTACCCGTTCACGCTTTGCCGTGATTTAGTTTAAATTAAAAAGTTGAACAAAGATGTGTATTAGCTACATTTAGTTTAACGTTACTACTATCTGTTCAACAATTTGTCTACGAATTTACCTATAAACTTATTAATCAGTCTACTATTTTACCGATTTACGAATTTACCTATCAACCCGTTCCACATGTCTACCAATTTACCTGTCAACCTGTTTATCCGTCTTGTTATTTGTCTATTTACCAGATGTCCTGTCTACCGTTTTACATATTCTCCAATTTACCTGACCACCAGCTATCTAACAAATTACTTTTTCGCCAATTTACTTGTCTACCAATTCACCTGTCTATCAATTTACCTGTCTACCAATTTACCTATCGACCTGTTTATCAATACACCATTTTAACGGTCAACCAATTTACATGCTTTCTAATTTACCTGTCATCCCGTTTTAAAGATCTACCAATTAACCTGTTCAATAATTTACCTGTTGAACAATTAACCTGTTTAACAATTTGTCTACTAATTTACCTATCAACCTATTTATCAATCTACCATTTTACCGGCCTACAAATTTATCTAACATTGCGTTCTACATATCTACCAAATAAGCTGTCAACCTGTTTATTTATCTACATATTCGTCTATCTACCAGTTCTTCTCTCTACCATTTTACATATCCTTCAATTTATCTGTCCACCAGTTTACCTTTATAAATTCTCTAATTCACCTTATTTATTTACGCATTATAAACAAATTAAAGCTCAAATTGATTTCACGTTTTAGTTGGAAAACGTTTGTATGTAAAAAATAAAAGGGCTGTTTTTAGGGTTTTCTCGGCAATTATTCGGTTTTTTCTCGCCGTAAGAACCATCCTTGGACTTCAACAAACATTTTAAAAAAATAATTGACCAAATTGGTCCAGGCGTTGTTGAGTTATGCGCTTACCAACACATTTTGCGATCCATTTTTATATATAAGATTTAAAAAATAATATAGATTTAAATTAATGAACCCTTAAGTCATTTTCAGCGACGACTCTGGATTTTATTAAAATGATCCTTGTAATAAGAACAACATTTGCATTGTCTTGTAATCGGAACTATTCCAATGATTGCCAAAGTAATAAATGCAAGAAATTTCTTTACATTATATTAATATGCGACTTAAGATCATTGACGAAATTTCAATTAATTTTAAAGTACTAGGTTTGTTTATAATTTTTGCAAATATAATTAATGATAAATTTTGAATGTTTCTTTAAATAAAATAATTAAATAAATTAGAACATGTATGCCATGCAAATGTGATGAGTTTTAGTGTCTTTGATTAATATGCGGGCTATCCTTCGATATCATTTATCATACAATTGAGATTAATAGAAATTCTTCAATAATCAAATGGTTTAAATGCTGCTGAACTATGCTTCTGTTATACAGTACAATTTATTTGAAACAGATTAATTGAAAATATATTATTGTAAGAACAATAATGTTATGCTGAAGGAATTCAGAGATCCTAAGATTATTGATTTAATTTAATTTTTAATTGTATCAGTGGATAATTTATTTATTCGTATTACAGTTTCGATTTTTTTTGTTTTTAGACTAGTTCTTAAAAACTAAATTATATATATATATATATATATATATATATTGTATATCGTTTTATTTATAAACAAAAATCTTCATTTTACCATGCACTTGCCTTTATTTCCATTCGTCGTGGGTAGTTTAAGGCCATCACAATAATTAGATTCATCTACTTTAGAACAAGTAGCTTCATTAGCAACACTTAGTTCACACTTCAAAAATAATAAAATTAAAATATATTCATAAACACGTTTCAAAAATTTGCTATACATTTTAAGATATGGTGTTTACATCGCTGTTACATAGCTACTGATAGATTTACAACAGAATGTTGTTGCTTTTCAAAATAATTCGGGTCTATTGGAGCAGAAATTTACTTTCATTTCTGTACAAAAACTATATTATCTATTTCTCATTTTATGCCTGAACGGTCATAATATTGGAATTACGGTGGCTTTTGGAAATATTTCGTTTTAATACATAATATTCAAATGTTTATAAAAATAAAACATAATTCTTTTCATTTGCATTTTAAATATGATCACGTATAATAAATTTCTATCATTTTAATTATTTTTAGATCATTTTTTTTATAAGATGAGAGATTGTTCCAAAATAAAAAAAAAACATGAGACGAATCAATTGGTTTGCCTGGTGTTTTTGATTATCATCTACTTTCAGTCACGTTTCACTTGAGAATGATTACACCTCTGAACAAGTCTAATAAAAGATAAAACCAGCAAAAAAAAGTTCGAATGAATCATTTATTAGATATACTTGTGGTAAAAATGCTTTCAAGCTTGTTACAGTTTTGGCCGTATTATTCTAGTGGAAACGCCTCAAAAGAAAGTGCCTCCTCGATGGATTACAACTTTAACAACATTCTTTCACACAATTTTACTTAATCTATTATATATTCATAATTTATTATTATAATTTTGCTAACCTGTCGGAACCTAACTCATATCAAATTTATCCTCAAATCCAATTTTTGGTAGATACTACGAACAGAATGCTAATCCGTCTATTTTCACAGTGAATTTTAAACGTTTTGAATCATCAAAAAAATCCTTCAACACCCTTCCACCAACTCATTAATTTTTTTCACACAATATTTTTAATTCAGTCGTTGTTCGTTAGTTTTCGAATTAATTATTTAAATGTGTGTCAAAGCTTCGAGATGCTTTAAACGTTTTTTATACGGTAAATTATTTTAATTTACCTTACGAAGTATATATATTCCTACATTTATTATTTATTCAAATAATTCATATTTCTATATGATTATTCTTTATTCATAAGTTGTTTTTTCCTTGGAAAATATTCTTTTTTATACATTGGAATTTTTGCATTATCAGTCCTTCCCGTATGCTTATCAGGACTATCCGCTTAAAAACAAAAATGACGTATGTTAATAATTTAATATTTTACATAATAATTTAATGTTTTAGTTATCAATGATAATGATCATGCCAAAATATAATGAGAATTAAAGAACTAATAATGATGAATTGAAAGAGCCATATGGCTCAGGATTAAAATAATTACTATGAAATTATCAAAGTTCCAATAATTAAGAAGTTTTTTGTTACTAGACTGTTGAAAATGCATCGACATCAACTTTAGTCATAACATGTGTAAAATGATAACGCGAAAGAAAATATAGAGTTACATAAGATAACCTTTATAACTTATAGTAATGATTAATTTTACTATTGAAGAATGTTATCACTTGGATAAAGTTAATAATTAAAATATCTTGTCCTCAATAATAATTTAAAAATCTTGTAGCTTTGTAAAGAATAAAATTTTTCAGTAATATATAGGTAAATAAAATAAATATATGCATTTGTATATAAATTCAACTATCTCTATCGCCTCCTTTCTTTTATATCATCGATGATAAAATATAATACTAATAATTCTCATATCATTTTTGTAAAATATAATAAATCTAAACAAAGTATAAAAGGCAGATCAGCAAGTTGAAGTATTCCAGGAAAGCTTTTGTTCGATAAATTAGGAAATATTAATATTAAAATTAGAAATCTATAAATAAGTTGTTTTATTTAAATGGAGTATATTACCAATACATATCATGATAATTTGTTACAAAAGAGAAAAAACAATAGATACATGGCAAAGATATCTACATTTAAATAAATTTTGGCTGATGCTTGTCTGACTTAACTAGATACTTAAAAATTTGATTTATAATAATAAATATTACATTGTTACAGATGTTTCAATAATTTTTGTTGCCTGTTGCAATCTTTTCATTACTTTTTAATTTAATAGTTTTGGCAATAAATGAGTGGTATGTTTTGCAATTTTTATATCATGATTCCCCACAAATGTGGTGAACCAGGTGTTTTAAGATGTTATAATGTGATGAAGTTATTTTCAATTTCTTATGATTCACCACCTTCTTCGTCTTCTTCGGCAGCGGCAGTCAACATTTGGATGAGCTTCTGGGTATCAATGAAGCCCTGTAAATACAATAAGCGATGTAATAATTTTAAATTACAAAATATTTAAGATTTTGAGAAATTGAAACTCACTTTATCGTCAATGACCATTTGGTCGTAGGCGTCATCAACTTCTTGGGCAGTGAATTTATCTCCCCAGGTCATGAGGGCATGACGTAACCTGAAACAATTCAAATCAAAGGTTAAATATAACAAATATTTTTGAAAAGTACATGAAACAGCTAAAGTTTTGCTCTAAAAATTACCTGTCACTGTCGATTTTGCCGTCGTTGTCGAAGGTCTTGAAGGCGTTGATGACAACATCATCATCATCAGTACCACCTGATCCAGACATGCGGTTGGCGAACAAGGTCAACAATTGGGTGAAGTTGATTGGTCCTGAAGCCTCACCGATCTTAAAAATTTCAATCGTATCACGTTAAATACAAATTTTGTTATTTTGCTGAATTATTTTGTCAGAATTACTACTAACCATGTCGTCGAGTTCTTTCTCTTGTACCAAACGGCCCAATTCGTCGAAAGTGGCACGGAGATCGTTCTTTCCAATGATACCATCTTTGTCGTGGTCAATTAGTTGGAAGGCTTCTTTGAATTCAGCTACCTGTAATAATACAAAGTTACAAATTTATTAAAACAATCAAAATTCATTCGATTTTATATTGAATTAGTTTTACAAAAATCATAAAACTAATTAGTAATTAAAATAACATTTGCAGCTTTTTCGATTAACTAAGATGAAATTGCTACGATATTTTTTTCTAATAATCTTTGATCTAATATCAGCTTGATATTGCGCTTATCGCTTCGTAACTGTCTTTTTTTTAAATATACGAACATTTTGTATCAAAGATATGAGAAATTCATGCAGAATGTTCTCGATATTAAAAAGCAAATTCAGCACACGAGTCAATTTAAAATTTATATTAAAAAAAGAGGCTTCGTTGTTTTCTCACTTTTATGATGATTATTCAAAATTATATTGAAAACAAAAACAAATTTGCGTAAAAAATATTTGAATTGAATTTAAATTCAATTATAATAATGAGCTGAGTTACAACTCCAACTCGATTCAGGGAAGAATAGTGTGAGAGATTTCTCATTGCCATTTCACACCGCAGTGCCCGAGATGGGCTTATTTTCAATTGGAAACATATTTTGATCTATATTTTCAATTGAAAATGGACATCGCGCTGCCTGATGTCAGATTGCTAGAGCGGGAAATCGAACGCGCGACTCTGTCCATACAAAGTCAACCCGTTAACGACCTTCGCCACGACAAACCCAAATTCAATTATATATAACAAATTTGTTATATTTTTTTATAATAATGTTTGGCAAATCAAAATAGTTCTTTGATCCCCACCTGCTTTTGTGAGAACATGGAGAAAACGTTAGATCCACTGCGCTTGACGGCTTTGCGGGATCCCCTGGATGATTGGCGTTCGCTGGCGGCGGGGGCTGCAGCTGGAGCTGGTGCGGCTTCAGCGGCTGGGGCATCTCCAGACTCTTCTTTTGCCTTCTTCTTCTTGATCTTCTTCTCCTTATCGGCCTGGTGGGTTAGGGTAAAGTTAGTTAAACAGAACACCAGATGAACCGATTATTACAATATTTGATTGTAATAAATAGGATAGAAAAAAATATGTATTAAGGTTAATGGTCGCTTTTGTTTCAAAAAATTTCACAAAATTCTTTGTGTTTTCACGTTTCATTCAAGTTTCGAACTCTGTAAAACTTATACAGAAATTTGAATAGGAAAAAATTGAGAAAAACAAAAATAGGGTACATGTGTAATAGTGAACCCCCTATATTTTATTCCTACCATGGTTATAATTTAACAATATTTCTAATACAATTGTGCACTGTGTAACAAAGTTTATGAATAATATGAGCCGCCATCTAGTCTTATTTATGTGGAACTTTAAATTCTGTAGAATGTGGCGTTATAATTTAAAAATATTAAAAATACTTTAAATGATTTTTTGTTAATTTTGTGAAAAACCCAAACCTTAAAATGATCCTTTTTAATTGATGGTGGTGAATAAACGCAACAAAAAAATTATTAAAAAAAATTCTAAGGTTCTAACTCTCGAAATAGAATTTCCATATACTGCGAGGCGTAATAATGGACTAAAAGTATTATGTTTCTCTATTATTATAGAATTCCAATTATAGTGCGTGCTCAGACACTACACTCGATATCCTCAAGTTCTAATTATAGCTCCATTGCCCACATTTGATTCTAACATTTCTACTCGCGGCCATCCGAAATTATTTATAGATACACACTGATATCGAATTCCTGAATTCCTAACCAATATTAAATGATGATGAATAATTGTTTACATTTCGTTCATTAGTTAAATTATTTTCATTTAGAAATAATGTAATATCGGTTAATGGTAAATAGTGTCATCAGAAACTGATCTACAATGCATATGGTGTAGAGATATAGTGATAATCGTCAACGCGAATTAGAATTGGAAATAAAATCATGTTTGTAGTCATATGCATAAGCAAAAAAATGAAAAACTATTATTAATTATGACTGCCTGTGTACTTACTATAATTGTTTAATTATCCCATATAAAAATGTAATTATGATAGTAATTTAAATATGATTTAAACCGCTGAGTCGCAGTCTATAAAGTTTCTTACATGTGACAAGTGGACGTAGCCCACTAAATGAATACCTCCGAAAAATCATTAATGGCCTAAAGAGCTTTTTCCTTTCAAAATGAAAACTGTATTTAGTGTGCACATGACATTTGCAAAAACGTATTAAACCAATCGGTTCACCATTTTCGATATCGCAAACGAACTAATCCTCTTAAACTGCCCAATTTGCACAAGTAGACGTTATGTGATCATAATTGGACCCTGCACCTTTCACACTTCAGAAACCACTTCAGAATTTTTATATTAAAAAACAAAAGCTTCACTTATTTATTTATTTTTTTGTTTCACTTGTTGGGATTGTGTTTGTGTTCTAGACCAATAATATACTTGATCACTTACCATTTTGTTTAATTAAGTTTGTTATCGGTACGAGAGGAACCACACCACTGACCCAAGGTAGTCCAGAGATGTTATAAGAAACCTCGCCTGGTCCCCACTTCGGAGCCAAGCAGGACACTCCTTATATAGTTACCGTTATATATCTAAATTTAAATGAAACCAGGAGCTCATAACGTTCTTTGCGGTATGCGGCGAATGTTCACTCTATAGTCCCAAGAAATAAAATATTTTGTCAGTTTTTGTACATATAAACTAATATAATAAAATCAAATTTATAATCAATAATTAAAAAATAAATTATATTATATTCGATAAATGTACATCTTTTATATTTATATTAACTTAATGTTTTATTAAGTTACTGTATAAAATAAATAAATAAATAATGTGCATTTTACATAGATCTACGGGTAATAATAAGGGTACTTTATGAATTATAATTCTATTTAATTTAAATAAATTAATTTATTTAAAATATTATTCAACAGTTTTAACAGTTTCTATTTATATGAACAATAAGCTGATGTATTATAATAAATATTTTTTCTTCTTAAGTTTATTTCCTGAATTTCGGCCCTTTTCAAAGTTCTATTAAAACTATATTTATTACTGTTTTTATAGTTTCGATTTTTAAGGTAATTAATATTAACAATGCAAACGTTGATAAGAAATATTATAACGTGATAGTATTTATCATGTATACCGCCTCATTAATTAAAATCAAAATGCAAACGAAGGAACGACATTCCTGTAATTAGCATAAACCGAAAATTCTACTAAAAAACTCAAAACTATCAAGCAAATTATTGAACATAGAAGATTCTGGAGATTTTTACTCCACGGGGATATTATTTTAATTATTTCGGCTCTGTATAGCAAAATTCTATTAATAAACTACGCTGTTCCACATAGTTATTGTATCTTATTTTAGCAGAACCATAGGCTTATCTTCCTGCAACGAAAAAGAGCTATTATTTTGCTTATATTACATCATATTATATTTTGACGAGCATTATTATCAATATTGTATACATATAAATGGGAGCTCTGCCAGAAGAAAGGTCTGTGAGCCGAGTTAAATTTCAAATCTAACTTGGAACGCCAAGTGTAAAATATTTTTCGTTGACATTTTGCAGCACTAAAAATGGGCTATTTTCAAAAGAACGCATATTCGATCTAAATACGTGAAAACAGTTATATCTGCTACCTGATATCTGATTGTCCAAGGCGCGGGTTCGATCTGAGAAACGGACTAAAAATAAATTATTCAATTATTTTTTTGTTTTCAAACGTTTTGTACGTTTTGGAGATGTAGAATGTCCCGTTTGTCAGGAACTTTTTAAAACAAACAAAAAATGTCTTATATAAATATTTAAATACGTTTCTTAAAAAGGAGGTATTATAAAAGCCTAAACTATCTAACTACTTAGAAAGTTTTGATCAATAGCATCTACTATTCATTGTCTATCAGATTCAAATTTCAATCCAAATTCAAATTTCTATCTGTGGATAAATTTACTAAAAATATCGTGTTTATATGGAAATGATCGAACTTTATTAGATTATCCATTTGTATTATTATTGTTTTTTATATTTAGCCGACATTTAGTATATAATAGGAAGTTTTGATCAATAGTATCCACTGTTGATTGTCCATCAGATTCAAATTTCATCCTTGTTTTGCATACAAGTTAACAAAAAAAATACAACGTTATGAAATGGAATAATAAAATCATAGATTAATACATTCATTTCTTCTTTATTATAAACATTTCAAAGCTATATCGTTGTACATTCCACAATTATTGATGTATCACAAGGGTGCCATTTTGCTAATTGGTATCATTGTATTAAGTTCCTAATATTAAAATACTGCGTGAATATCAACAAGTTTATTTTCTGGCTTGACTTCAATGTACTCCGAGCTTCCTTTGGGCCTCACCAAGATCATAATAGAACCGTTGTCAGTAATAGATGTAGCTTTAAGGAAAACGGCAGCTCCGGGCGTCAGCACACCGCGCTCGTGGGCGGCTGCCAATTGATTCACTACACGCCGCTCTACCTAAAATAAATTAGTTCCATACATTGTTAGTATTGTCAATCATTTGATGGGAATCGGATACCATGTATAGTTTGCTACTATATTATCTATCAAATTTCTATATTATCTATCTAATTTTTATATTTTTGCACATAAGTACGTTTATTTATGATACCGCATTAAATTTAGTCTATAGAACAATATTATCATTATATTTAATATATGATATATATGGACTATTGCAATACCAGTACAAAAATTAAATAGATTAGACCCGATTATCAGAAATTTATGACATAAAAAAGAATAAACTAATGAACATTCTGAAAATAACAAAGTATATAAAATTCGAAAAATATAAAATGTAATATGAATAATTTAGTATTAAGGGGCACAACTAGTGTGAAATTTTCAAAACATCGAATTTTCAATTTTTCCATATTTCGATAGGTTATACCTTCAAAAATAACATGCCAAAATTTTAAATCGATATCTTAAATAGTTTTTGAGTTACAGCCATTTAAAGAGTATATATATATACGAGTATATAGTATATATACTCTTTATAAGTATAACGATCATTTTATCTTTAAACGCGTTTTTCTCGAAACAGCATTTTCCGATTTTGCTGCAGCGATTACTCAAAAACAAATGATCCGATCACTATCAAATTTTTTTTACGTGTTCTATATATAGTTCTCCGTAAAATGAACTATCGATTTTTTTTATCGAATTTTGGCAGTCCAAAAACGACCAAAATTTTGGGTAAAATTCGACTTTTTTTAAAAAAAACGCCGTCATTTTGTCAATTTTTGATTTTTTTTCTTTACCGTAGTTCATTTTACAAACATCTTACATTATCTAGTTTAACGAATTTTTTTTTTAATTACATCCACGTAGAAGGCCGGAATCACTGCAGCAGTGAAGGCCCTTTTTTTTGTCGCGCCGTTGGAGATCGACGATAACTTAAAAAATATTTAATTTTTTACTATGTATTCTTAAAACATGTGTAAATATATACCTAAAATTTTGAAATGATTGATGATGTAGTTTTTTTAATAAAAATTCCCAAAAATCACCTTTTTTTAGGCAGTTACAAATTCTGAATTAAAACTATTTCTGGAATAGGATTGTATGACATCATATACAAAAATGTAATATATAAATATATAAAAAATATAAAATTTGGAAAATATAAAATGAAAAATAATTTATTTATTATTACAAAAATAATTATGTATGCCTAAGATACAAGTTCATCACATAATTAATGGCAATGCATTAATTAATTTTTGCGTTTTTCCAATAGAGAACATTTTTGAATTTGCATATTGAATGTACCTATTGATGAGTTGAGTAAACTTTGCAAATTAAACAATTACAACAAACAGAAAATAAATACTGTCAGTCTGGCTTTGCGCGAAAAATTTGAATAATAAATTCTTATACTAACATAAGCTGATAATTTAGCAAACCGGAGCGATCTAGTTTGATTTGACCGTTGGATGTTTTTCCCAAATGAATAGGATGATATACTATTTATAATATTAATATAAAAAATATTTTTCACAATTTTTTTATAATGGAATAGGTGTTATTATCATTTATTTTAACAACGAAGTAAAAATTGAACACGTTGATAAGAATGTTATAGTACTATAGCCAATGCTATTATTTTTGTATTATTCGAACAGCAATTAGAACAATTATACAGCTGTACACAAATAATTAAGTATTGATGATTTAAAGCAAGGATTTTCTATGCGCAGTCATGTTTCAAGAATTATAGATGCAGCTAGAGTTTCATTCATTTTCAGTCCAAATCAAAAACTTCTGCATAAGACACATATGATGTTTAAGATGTTGATATATGCTTTCAATGTCATTGTTTTTTTACACCTATATATATTTTACAATCGCTAGATAAGATTGAGCGGTACTAACGTACGTAACATATTTTAAAAATAGCGCAATGAAATTTCTTTTTTAAGAAACAATGTCACATCAAAGGCGTTTACGTATATAATTAAGATAAACATGAATTACCTCATATTTTATACTTCGAGCACCATAATGCACATCATAGCCGTCCGCTAAAAGAGCTTCGACGTCTGTATCCCATGTTAGTTCGATTTTATGTTTTGTTCGAGCCTGAAATAGAAAATATTCAATACTAATTAAATTACTAGACTCACAATGAAATAAAGCTTCCAAGAACTTATTATATAAATATAGTAATATGGCATTCTACTATATTATTGTGCTATTGAGTACACTTACTTTATCCGCCCAATATTTTAATTCTCGTCCAACTAAAGTAAGTAATTCCGTTCTTGAAAAAGGAAGAAAATATACAATTTCATTTATTCGCCCAAGAAATTCGTCTCGCTGAAAATGCATTTTTAATATTGGACGAACTACTTTATCTTTGAAATATCGCGATACAGTTACGTCGCTGACGGGCTCAACATCTAAGAAAATAAAAACTCAATTAAGTTAATATAAATGCAATAAGAAATACTCAGGCATTACAAATTATAGTAAAAATATTATCTAAATTCAAAATAAAAAAAAATGGTTTCACCTCCTTCGCCAAGCTTTTTAGCAGCATTTATTTCAGCTTCTTTCCGCAGTTCCATGCCATGTTGTGCAATTTCATCACTGGCTAAATTTGAAGTCATCACAAAAATTGCATCTTTGCATTCGATCGTTTTACCTTTACCGTCGGTTAATCTGCCCTGCAAAAATTTATTCGGTATAACCACAAAATAAGTACTATATGATATGCAATTAGAAACATAACTTACTTCGTCAAATAATTGCAGTAGTACTGTAAGTACATCAGGATGAGCTTTATCCACTTCATCGAAAAGTACCACCGCCTTTGGACAGTTTCGTAATTTTTGGGTTAATTGACCACCAGAGTCGTGCCCTATATATCCAGGAGGGGCCCCAATTAATTTAGCTACCTGTACAAATTATCATATAATTGTATTTTGTTGCAAAAAAGCAAAAATTTCGGCGTGATTTTATTTTAGATGCAATCAGTCCACAATTAGTCAAATTATTTGAGAAACGAGTAGAGAAAAAATATATAGTTTCCAAATTGTTCACCGAACCTTCTTTATTTCACTTATGACAGTGTAAGATATTCTTAAAACATAAACTTCTTCTTTGGGAAGTTAATAAAACAACAAAAAATTATATTTGACATTTTATTGTCCATTGAAAGTGATAGTAATATACAAATGTGAATTACCTATATGGAAATATTTGGTAAATGACATATCACAATGTTTCATAATATATTGTATGCATATATATATATATATATATATATATATATATATATATATATCCATATTCAAGAAGCCTATAAAACGTGAGAAATATTTATAAAATGCAAAATAAAGCAATAAAAATATGATATTTGGAATGAAACGTTGATTAATGTAATTATTATAGTTATATTTTCAAAATAATAACTATTCGTTAAAATGTTTTCTTTTTTAATTTAGAATACGAATTTTGTCATAACTATTTATATTATTTTAAAAATGAGTTATATACAATACATGGTTAGAGGCACTCATTAAATAAATAAAATATTTGTCTATGTACATAAAAACAATGACAATTTAAAAAAATAATTTGACTGTACATTTTCTGGTGTTATATTAAAAAGGTGATAACTCTCAGTTATTTCCAAATAATTTTAAATTTAAATATAACTAATTTTCTACTAGCACAAATTTTCAAATTCTAGTGATGATTTTCTACTAGCGCATTTTGAAATAAGCTCTTCGTAAGGCTTTTTGTGTAGAAAACAGACTATAACAACAGTCATATTATCACATCCGAGTCCTCCCATTTGGCATTCGGGTGCCAGACAACGGGACATTAACTGTTCACAAATATCTTCAGGTTCCAAACCTATTCCTAGTCTATGTCTCACAAAACCTACGACATCTTCATTTGTCATAACATCCCATATACCATCACAAGCTAAAACCAAAAATTCCCAGTCTTCTGTTATATCACGTACTTCCACATCAGGATAAGCAGTTACAATCTGATCCTCTGGAGATTTCTTAGAATTTTGTTTATATGAAAAGTCACCTAATGCTCTCGATAGAGCCAATTTTCCATTGACCCTATTGAATTCAACCCAACCACCAGCAGCAATTATTCTTTGCAGTTCTGTGTCATTACCTGGTTTATGATCTAAGGATAATACTTCTACTTTTCCTCCAATACTGGCTATTGCACGAGAGTCACCTGCATTTGCACAATACAATCGGTTGTCTTTAATAATAATTGTGATTGCTGTTGAACCACACAATTCATTCTTTAAGTCAACATCCACTAACATTTCTGAGTCAATATCAAGAAATGCTTGTTTCATAGCAGTAACTATATCTGTTTTGAATTCAGATCTTTGCAACACAAATTTGTGTAAATGATTTCCTGCATACTGAGCTACTTTAGATCCTCCATGTCCATCATATACACCAAAAAAGGCAGTACCTGGATCGTCAGGCAAGGATAATATATGAGTGTGGGCATCTTCCATATTAATTCGCCATCCTTGCATGCAGCTTGATCCAACTTTGTAAATTTCATTTCGGCAAAAAGCGGAATGCTTTTCTGTTACGGGTTCTGATAAAGTTTGCCCCATTGTGTCAATTTGATATAAAGCGCTATTGTTTTTATTGTTTCTTTCACTTGTATGACATTTCCACAAAGTAGATTATTTTGAGCGTAATATTAGAATGTTTGTTTATGACATTAGCAAAAGTAAATATCATTTCAAAAAAATAATAATATACGCGCGACAGGAGAGTTATACATGTGAAGTTACGAGCGATCATGCGTGCTTTCAATTTTGGTTAACTACGTGTCACATTATAGTGTTGCCAATATTGCTTTATGATTACGAAAAAAACGCGCGCCCGTAAATTATTCAGAAAATAGAATGAAGAAGATTAAAACTATTTCAGATAATTAAAAAATTGACTGAAATTCTCTTCGTCGACAAGTCTATGTATTTATATGTAATTCATGTGATTAAAAATGATATTTTAAAAAATATTGACAAAGTAAACACATCACAAAGGATGACAAACATTTTTTACTGATAAGGTATCTGATAAGGTTCCAATTATCATGTGCAGTTGTTCACAAATTGCGTGGTATTTATTTATTTGGCATACATTATAATATAGTTGATTTGAAAATTTGATTGTGGCATTTGAAGTTAGGAAAAGAAAGGTACATAATCATTTATGCTTGGTCTTGTATATCCAATAAAATATATTTTCAAAATGAGTAATATTTTACTTGAAATATTCTAATTTCTAATAATTAATATCAAAAATATTTAAAGTAACAATGTAAATTTAAAATTATATTTTTCTATGTGGAGATTTTGAAATAAAGGAGAAATGAACTATTTTTTATATGCATTATTTTCAACAAACTTAAAAATGTTTCCTTGTTCCCATTAAACATAAAGTTGTTTTATACCAGTTTAAATATTGAATATTGAAAGTTTTCTCTAATATTTTATGATATATGATATATATAAGCTGTATAGAAATTATAAAGGAGCTTTTTGTTTTTGATAAACAATTACCTCGTGCTTTTCCTGATATTCTGACATATCCAGTCTAATAAAACCTGATGGTTTATCTTTATGGATGTAGTTTGCAAGTTGTTTTGCCAATTCCGTTTTGCCTATTCCGGATGAACCCAAAAATAAAAACACTAGAGGATGTTCTTCATCTGCCCACCCATTTTCTTTGCGTCTGATAGCTAAAATTTCAATGTTATACTTCTTATGCAATAGTGATGCATTACTATTCACATTTTCATGAAAATGGTACTAAATTTTCAAACACAAGCCTTTATAAGATATATTACCTGATCCAACAATACCAATTGGCCCTTGTTGTCCTACAATCTTTTGCTTTAATCGTTGTTCTAAAGGAAATCTTCTACGTTCTTCAACTTCTCGTTGCTTCTGAAGATCCTTAAACTGAAGATTTAAAACATTTAGAGAACAATTATGATCTTTAAATGTTATATCTATATTAATATACATTCATTTTTAATGAATGTAAGAGTAAACCAATTTTTATTAGATGAAATGGTAAATAAAACATGAAAAATATGATAAAATCTTGTTTCATGATTTATATGTCACCTTTTCAGAAACAGATGCCAATAATTTTTTTGTTTCACCTTCTGCTGCATAATGAATAGGTTCCCTTCCTGCATGATCCACAATTAGAGGATCTGCACCATTGTCTAACAAAGCTTTTACTGTTGGAAAACTATCTACCAGTACTGCATAATGCAGAGCAGTAAAACCCTGGAATGATGCACGATGGCTTAATCTCGCTGAGAATTCTTCTTCTCGTTTTGCTAAAACTAAAATTAAGATATCAGTTATTAATTGAATATATAAATTCATAACAAATTTAAAATTTTTGCATCTTTTATGCAATTTGCATTGCCATGTGACACAATCTTTAGTACGTTTATTCTCTTAAATTTTAATATTTTTCCACATAAATATATTTCAGAATATTAATTCAATTTCTCAATTAGTAGTGATTTTTTATGTCCATTTTAAATTACCATCTAATAAATGTAAGCCATGTAAATCTGCAGTTTTATGAACGCTCATGAATTCTTCTTGAAGGTTTGGTTGAGCTCCTGCCTTTAATAATGCTAAAACTGCATTAGTTTTGCCATTAACAGCGGCTGCCATCAAAGGAGTCCACCCAAGGGGATGCCTCACATCCAAATCAATCTTATCTTTTAATAAGAAATTAAGCTCCGTCATATTTCCTTGTTGTGCAGCTTTTAATAATTTTGGAGCTGTGAATATTATTGGACAACATTCATATTTCGTGATTAGTACAATATTACAAAATAAAATACAAGATTTACCAGTCATATCGGGAGAATTGCATAATGCTAATGTTAATCCTAACACAGCAGCTAATTTTGTAAATCTATTTTGATTTTTGTTGAAGAAATAATTATATTGACTTTTCCCACGCTCATAATTTTTATATTTTTTTGAAGAACTAGATGCTAATGTATCGCGTTTATAAAAATAATTAATACGAATTTGTTGTAATATTTGTACTACAAAGCCCGGCTTATATAAAAAACTATTTCTATTTAATAATTTAAAAGCAAGTGCTAAATTTTTGTACATTGTGATTAACAGATTTTAAAGAGGCCTTCAAAAATAACAAATAATCTTCATATTGTAATAAATATTGTTAATGGATATACTTTGTGCAATTTAGATATTTTAAAATTTATATGAAATATTTGACGTTTGGCCACTGTGATTTATTTACATCCATACATCGAAAATAAATAAATTTGAAATACTATTTTTGCACAAGTTTTCGAAAATTAACTTAAATATTATTATTAATAAGCTATTAAATTTGCAAAAAAGTCATAAATTTATAGGTTAACAATTTGATGCACTGACATTTGCTTGAATTTGAAGTTCACGTGTCTGAAATGTCATGAACTATTGCCAACAATCTAAAACTAATAGTAAGGGCGCTAAGTACAAATAACATATAAGTAATAAAAAGATTTGTACATAGATAAATAAAGATATAAAATATAAATAACATATAAATCTATGTATATGATAATGAAGATTCCTATAAATTTTTTTCATTCACTTTATTTCTGTAATTTGATGTAAATTATGTTTTGACTTATTACTGCAAACGTGTACGTTACACACCAAATTTCGAATTTTAGGCCAGAATTAATCGGTTGATTGCTTTCCAATAACCAACCTCGTTAGATTATTATATTACATTTCTGATAATGTCTGTTTCTGCTGTTTTTTATTGTTTATTTGTTGTTACACGTACATTATTCATATACGAATTATAAGTTAAAATTTTTTTTTGATTGTATATATATATATATATATATATTATATATATATATATACAATCAAAAAAAAATTATAATTATATAGTGCATCACATATCCTTTTTTTGTATTATATAGTGCATCATAGATACATTACTTTGTAATATCAATAATGTTACAAAATTATTGGTTGGGAGGGAGATTTTTTGCCTTACCATCTTCATCTATAATTCTTTATTCTTCCCATTTTTTTGCATTTCATAATGACGTGCTCAGCATCCGCCTTAGTCACTCCACCCAAGCAATATCAATTAGAATTGGTATTATTTATCCCAATTCTACTCAGGTGAAACGGAGTGTATTCATGGTTAAATAATAGTCTACATATTGTAGAAAAAAAACGATCGACATTCAGTAAACTCGTCATACCATGGTCTGATACCTTAAAAAAATATTAACTTGATACCGAATCATATTGCATAAATATTTTGACCAATTAATCTTCGATACTAATTGCAAATTAACCAAGTTGGTCACTCACGGTAGATACTATCGCATATCGGTTTAATTATCAAATCAGAATATTATTAGAATTTTGAAATCATCAACCAGTCATTAAACTCTTCCCATTGGTTTCCAGTTGGATTAACAATTATCTACTCTTTTACTATTAACCATTCAGGTTTTATTATATCTTTTAAGCAGAGATTAAAAGCTTTAAAGAAAAGGAGACCCTATTCCCATTTTTTGCACTCCTTAATGACGTGCTCAGCATCCGCCCTAGTCGCTCCACAATTCAGAAAACTCGTCATACCATGGTCTGACAACTTAAAAAATATTAACTTGATACTGAAATCATATTTCATAAATAATTTTGGACAGTTAAGCTTTGATACTAATTGCAAGTAAACTAAGTTGGTCACCCACGGTAGATTCTATTGCATCTAGGTAATTATCAAATTAATTATCAAACCAGAATCTTATTAGAAATCTTCAGTTCATAAACTTCTCCATTGGATTCGAATTGCATTAACAATTCTCTACTCTTACAATATTAACAACTCAGGTTTTATTATATCTTTTAAGCAGAGAGATGTCACACTATTTGCCTGATATTTTGTCACAAACCATTTTAACGAATTAAAATCTCAAAAACCAGTCTAAGACAACTTTTCTTATTGGATTCCAACTGTCATTTATCTCGGAAGGTGGAGCATGGTGTTTATTTTCGTTTATCAAACTTGATTCCATGTCGTCTATTTTGCGACCGGAGTTACATTCGTATCGGTTTGTCAGCATGCAGCGCAGTCTCTATTAGTTTGTTGTGGGTGGTGAAGTGTATCGTTTCGGAATTAAGGTTATGATAAACTGAGTACATATCTTTAATGAAATATGTTAAATTTATATCGAACGTGAAGAATTGTGATATATCATAGGTGAGTAGGATGGAGTTGTATTAATATTTATTTGAGACTATTGATTTCATATGAATAAGTATAACCACAACACAGTTTATAAATTCAGGTGATACTTGCTTGATATTTACATATTTTGAATTAATCGACTATTATGAAGTTGTATTTAACAGTATATAGTCTATTCTGAATTCTTCGATTTGTAGATTTGACTAATAATAATTTGAATAACTACATTATAAGATATACTACAAACTACCACAAAATTATGTTAAACTTGCACAATTTACTCTATTTCCTAGAAAAATATTTATTGATAAAAATATTAATGTAAATTACTGTAATTTTAATTAAATGAATCATAATTATCAAAATGATCATCATCATACATTAATTATATAATTCATCGATTTAATTCATCAGCGTTCAATTTATTTTGCAACAATATAACTATTTTTCTGGTACAATAATTAGTAATATGAGCACTTTACTATTGGCATTATTTATATAGATGGTTGAAGCGTGGTTGAATGTATAGCATCCAATATAATTTTTGAATTTTAACAATGAATTCTTAAATTTCAAATGCAAAAAAAACGTCCGAACTTTTAGCATTTCCTCTTCCTTGAGGTGAGCACTTGCATGAAGGCAAAATGCTGTTCTTTTATATTATAAAATTTTTTATCTCATCAGCCAGACATAAGTGCCCGGCATTGTTTGGAATAAAAGATTATACAGAATATCGGGTTCTAACAATATTTTTACAATATTACAAAAACTTATATTTGAACATTTATTTTAAGAAACAGGTATTTCATACTTCACTTATATACCATTATATATCATTGTTATCCAATTTACATTATTATTTGAATGCATGCATAAAATTTGTTCTAAACCTTTATTATGCTATATGTGGGTGATGCAATGAAAATTTATTTTTTGAGCTTTGAACCGTTTTTTTATATAGAAGTCATTTGAATACGCCGTCTGAGAATTTTATTGTCGTCTCGCCTAAAATATATCTGTATCTCCAGATCTTGTTTACTTTTTTTACATAATTTATTTTGAAACAAAATTGAAATTATTAACAATTATGACAAAAAAATGAGTTTTTGATATAATTGAAATTAGCATTTTTTTTTGATAAGAAGCAATTTTTATTTACAATATTAAGTTATTATTCCAGGAGGTCTAAATGACCTATACTAATGGTAATACATATATTGTATTGCTGATAAGTAGAAGTTTATTACACTTTTTTGTAGTGATTGCAGAAATAACAGATTTATTTTCAAAATTACATGATAAACTACACTATAATGTGAAATATAATGGAGATTCAACTATTGTTCCACCAAAAGTCAATGAGGCTTCTTAGTCACGCCAGGTGCATGGTTTTCATTACATATATAATATAAATATCATAATTATACATTTTTAGAATTACATTTTTTTTATATCATCATATAATTGGTAACCATACTTGGTAGATATCTTACAAATATATTTGGAAAAAATGATAAACAAAATAAAAAGTTCTCTTTAGTCCTTTTGGAATGGTAACAGCCAGAAGGATTCTGACCAATTAAATGGTATATTAACATAAATACTATATTTTATTAAACAATGTACTGTATTTAAGTTATGTAAACAATCTCTTCATAAGAAAATGGGCAATGCAACCCATCAATAAAAGTGTCACGCCTATATATTTTAATATGTA